TTTTTTACGTACTTCGTGAACATGGATCAGTGACCTAAAAGTGGCTCACTGAAGCATAAAAGGAGTGATGAAAATACTAACGTAAATACTGCCATAAAGAACAATCTTCAAATGAAAATAATTAACAAGACCTTCACATAAATATAGATTATGAATCTAAATGTGCTGGGAGAAGCGAATGTGTGAATGACACGCATTCTCACAAGCAGCACCCTTGCCAGGTATGCTCTTCCTAGTTTCCAGACAAAGTCACAACATCCTATGACATGGAATAATATGGAATAGGTTTTTTTGGGAAAGGTCAAAGCTTGAAGGCCAGGATCAGCAAGAACAAAAAAGGAAGGCATTGTTGTTACCCGAACACACACCAGTGTCTACGGAAAGGCTTGCCAGGGCCCAGGACTTGTTCTTTTGACTTTTTCCAGAACAAATTTTAAATGAGTCATCAATAGGGGAACTACACTACACAGTCTGCTTGACGTTGGAAAGTTAGGATTTGGGGAATGAGCCATCTACACAAGTCTGAGACAGCCAGCTGTCCAGGACAGAGATAACACAGGTCCCATGGGTAGTTATAGTCCCCACTGTCTGCCATCAGTCCTGAGGGTAGTTGGGTGCAGCCCCTACAGTTGGAGAAGGGGTGGGTTGGGGTGCAGCGCTGCCTAGATAATTGTTCAAGAAAACCACAATAAGTACCCAGGGTCACTTACAGACAATACTGCTTGCTGCACAGGAACTAAGCAGTGGGCAATAACAATGGTGTTGAACAAGCCAGACATCTTCCTTATTAAACATTTTGGAATTAGGCTTTGCAAATACCAGTCAAAGTCCCTGCAGGAAACAGCACAAATGTGGTAACTGAGGACAGCTTGTTAAAGGAACTGTTCACAAACAGGTGGGCAGCCATAAGTAAAATCAACAAGAGACAGTGATGCGTCCTCAGTCTAGCAGCAGGAAGAAGCCATTACCACCTCTAGGCCTGAAGGGGCAAGGCAAGAGACATGGTTACCAAAACCCCGAGATGGCTCAAGCTGTGGAAGGGGCTGAGGGACAGATGGTGGCCTTCAGGGCTATGGGTGCAGGTATCCAGCTACTTCTAACCTGTAATCCTGCAGAGAGGGGACTGGGAGAATAAATACCCTGATCTCACTCTTCCCCCTTCCAACCCCCTGGTGATGCTCCCATTGGCAAAACCCAACCACAAGTCAGAGGGCAAAATATGTGGCAAAACCAGCTGATGGGGACCACAAAGGTTGGCAGGAGACCAAGCAGAGAAGGGGAGGGAGTGAATATGAGGGGCAAGCGAAAAATGACCACATACTAAGGAAGACAGAAAGCAGTGGCAATTTTTGAGAGGTCGGCTTCGGAGAGCTAAGGAGATAAGTGGCTGATTACAGAGCTGGAGTGAGTAAGGAGAGATGAAAAGAGGGCGACTGCTTTTTCAATATTTTGATCAGGAAGGAAAGCAAAAAGTCACAAAATTATCTTAAAGAGATCTCTGTAGTAGGGAATTTCTGGTTTGGAAAAAGGATTTAAGTTTCATCTGAAAAGCAAAAGGATCCATTTTAAAGAGAGTGACTAGAGAAAGAGGGACAAAATATGGACCCCAAATGGGAGATGATAGAGTTTTGAAGACAAGTATTAGTGCTATATGCATATTCTCCAAATAGTATTATACCAACTGTCTTCTGGAAATCATTATCCCAGCCCACAATAATTACTCACTCTTAGAATGTATGCTATAGTATTTTTACTATGTCATGTCCTAAGTGTATTGTAAGACTTTACAATGTTCTCACATATGATTTGAACAGACTACAGTACTTGGTTGAAATGAGAAGACCAGATTTGAGGATTAGGTAAAGGTTAAGGAAACTTTAAATACATTTCAAAATTGGTTACCTATGGGAATACTTTCTTTGCTAAAAATAAAATATGTAACTAAGGAAGGCAATTACTTACCAATTAAATTGCTTTTGGTCTTTTTTCATTCTACATCTATCAAGTTCACAGATCTCAAGGCAATAAACAATGAGCAGTCTAAATTTGATCTCTAGAATTATGAGAGCTCTCATTTCCATTTAGGAGCATACTGAATTGTTTCCTGCCTGATCATCTTAAGATCATGGGTATCAATTAACAGATTGAAGACCTCAGGAATCACAGTGTTTGAATTACTAACATGTCACTAATCTCATTAATGGCACTATATTGTTCACTGTTGAAGAACCTTATCATATTTAAAATAACCCAGAGGCTGGGCACAGTGGCTCAAGCCTGTGATCTCAGCAATTTTTGAGCCCGAGGTGGGTCAATCACCTGAGGTCAGAAGTTTGAGACCAGCCTGGGCAACATGATGAAACCCCATCTCTACTAAAAATACAAAAATTAGCCAGACATGGTGGTAGGCTCCTCTAATCCCAGCTAATACAGAGGCTGAAGCAGGAGAATCCCTTGAACCCAGGAGGCGGAGGTTGCCATGAGCCAAGAGCACGCATCTGTATTCCAGCCTGGGCAACAGGAGCGAGACTCCATCTCAAAACAATACAAATAAAATAATAATAATAATAAAATGAGCCAGAGACACAGGAACCACAAAGAATGGAGTAGAAATGTTTACTCACCCTGAGAACACAGTTAAAACCTGTCATTATTCATTGCCAAATATGGCCACACTGGACCATCAATATCCATTATAAAATTATCTAGCTCTTTCCTGAGTGTTTTCCTGGTATAAAGGCATGCTTCATTTTAAACATTCAATATTTGGTCCCACTGGTAAAATTATGAAAATATTCCTCTTGAAGAGAACCTGATTTTATTTAGAAAGTGTTGTGCAACTCACAGGTTTACGGATATGTAGACTGGAAAACTTTCTTTAGAACAGGAATCAACTGAATTGATCAAGTAATATCAAGCTACCCCATATTTCAATGTGATGTGGTAAAAGTCCGTGATCTTCTCCAAAAATAACTGTGAACTACAAGACCCATATGCTTCCTTTTCTCTTCCAGTCCTAAAACAATAGACTATGATAACAAATGGAATTTTGCAGGCTTTGGTTAGAGGCCTTTATCTTCAAAAGAGACCTAGGAAGGAAGACTTAACTGACCTTTCCATGTAAGAAAGCATATCACCTACTGAGATTTGTCTTACTTGTTGGCACCTATCTACAAAAGAAATGGGAGGGTAAAATCAGCTTCAACTTGTGCAAATTAAAAGTAACCTTCAGGCTAATGGGTTTTCAACACCACTCCTTACTGAGCAAAACATTTGTGTCCCATAAAATTAAATTACCTCCTCAAAACTGACTTCTCTAACAAATTACAACATTACATTTTTTAAAGTAAAATTGTAATTCCTACAAAACAATTTCCCTCCCCCTGAGGTGACCCTCCTGTTACTGTCAGAATTGATTCCATCTTTAATGGAGTTCTCCATCTCGTTCTGGGGTCCAAAACCAAAAACAGGAGAAGAAAACCTAAAACCTGTCAAACAAATGGCAGCAAAATTAAAGGCCTGAAAAGTAAACCAAATCTTTGAGAAAACTAGAACTCCATGTTAGAGAAATAAACGCTTTATCATTTCACCAAACACTAAATTCAAGGAATGAGGAAGGGTCCTTACCTCGAAAAGTGACCAGCTATTTTCAATTTTTTGGGAGTAGCAATCAGAAGGAAACAATGAAAAAAAATTAAGCACTGTAATGAGTTTCTACGGTGGTGGCTCTTGTTTTAACCCTAGCAATCACTAAAAAGTGACTATATTTTCACCAACTGAAGAAATGTTAATATGGTCCTATTTAAATGGAGTTGCCTGCAATATTTGTACTGAGAACTAAACTTGCTCCTTCAGAAGTGAAAACATCAAGGGAAACAGTAAATAAAACCCACTTGAAAAGATGGGCCATACATTTACCAGACTAGAGATGACCCACAAACACAAGTGGACAGTACAAATTGTATACTTTCAACTATGAGACCATTTGAAGCAAAGGCACAATTATCATGAGCTTATATAAAGCAAATGCGTTAAATTTGGTCTAAAAGACAATGGACTAATATAAAGGAAAGGATCATGATGAAATATTATCCTGGCACCTGTGTACAGGATGGACTAATGTCAGGAGAAGCGCAGCATTAACACTAACACTAATAATATCAAACAGACCATTGCTAGCTGTCAAGGCTGATATATACATTTTCATATGCATATAAACCAGTTAAATCCTCACAGTCGTGTTTTGAGGCCAATACTGTTATCTCATTTAACAGATGGGGAAACTGAAGCACTTAAATAATGTCTGATTTTTACAATAAGTGTTCTGCATAGCAACCTCCATGCAGGTCTATACAAGCCACGTACATTTCCTTCTCAAAGCAGGCGTTGATCATCCAAAGAAGTCAAGAATACTCATGCTGCCATGTGATATTTCTTATTGTTTTTCAATGTTTTTGTTGTGGAACACTTCAAACATACACAAAAATAGAACAAATACTATACTAACTGAACTCCTTTATTCACATACCTAATCTGGATTTATCTATTATACCTTCACTCATTTCCTTTGCCTCTCCCTCATTATTTTGGAGTAAATCACCGATTTTATAAAATTCAATCACCACTAACTTGTTCAGTATGTATCTCTAAAAGATAAAGACATATTTTTCCTTCTAAACATGACCACAATACCATCATCATGATACTTTAAAATTTACAATGATTGCTTAGTATCAAACATCAATCAGTGGTTAAAGTTCTAATACATATCTTACTTTAATATTTGTTGAAAGTTGCAATGTGCCAGCATTAGGCACTTTGACATATACCATTTCATTTAAATTACTGCTACTTGAATTGCCTTTTCCCCTCTTTCACTCCTACTAAAAGGAACGACTGTCTCTCCCAGAGGATTCAGAGACTCCGCAGCATGCTGCTGTCGGCCACCCTCCCGGTCTCCGGTTCCTGGGCGTGGTCCCCAGTCCCGTCCCCGGGGGGGCGGAGGCTCGGGCCCGCCGCCGCCGCCGCCTTCCGCTGGGATCTGTTCCCAGGCCCAGGGACGCCGCCCCCACCCGGTTGCCTAGGCGACGAGGGGCCGCTTCTCCCGGCCGAGATTGCGGCGATGTCGCAGGGGACTACTCCCTGGGGGTCGACCCCGGCAGGGTCGACCCCAGCGGGAACCACACCCGAATCGGAGGTACGCCGCCCCTTTCCCTTCCCGGTCCCGTTGCGGGTCCCAGCGGCCTCCAAGCGCCCATTCCCCGCCCTCGGAGTCCGAGGCCGAGCAGAGTCAGGTCTCTAAAGAGGCGCCCACGTCTGGCCCCGGCGGGGAAGCGGCCTGGGAAGGCTGCGGGGCTGGGAGCGGCACGGGGGTCCCCGACACCCTCTGCTGCCCGGTGTCCCCTAGCCGGCCCCGGCGCGCCGTGCACGGTGCCAGAGAATCTAAATTGTATGAATTCTTCCATTGGACGGCTCCGTACCCAAACGCCCTCATAACCACGCGCTTCTACCGCAGTTTTGTTTTGTTTTGTTTTTAATTCTAAGTAAAACAAGTGATCTCAGATTTTTTAGTGGTTCAGTCTCTTTTTGAAATTGCTACTAATTCTGTAATGATCACAGTTGCGATTGCTCAAAAGGTGTCATGAAATAATAGCTGTTTGCTGGTGATGGACTGATTACTATTAGAAGGTTAATGTTTCCATTAGTTTGCCATTTTTCTAAACAAATAGATGCAGGTCAAAGGACACTGGTTGAAAATCGGTCTTCTGGTTGTGGCTTTAGTTGCTCATCAACTTGACTTTAGGAAAGTTATTTAATCTCCTTGGACTCCAGTGGCCTCCTGTGTGACAAAAGGTTGCTCTTAGGCCCCTTCCATCACCAACTCTCAGTAATGAGTAGGTTTTAAGTAACTTTACTCATAATCTTAATATCCTGAGATTTGAAGAACACATCTGTGGTGCCAGATATTACCAAAAAATGCTTGCATCTTTGCACACAGAGTCTACTATTATTGTTCCTAGGAAGTTTTTTTTCTCTCCGTTTTGTTAAGGTTCTAAAGGTGAATAATCATGTCTGAATTAACTGCTTTGCTTGACTTCCTTATTCGTTGATCTAAACAACATTCCTTGTGCAGAAGATAAGTATTAGTTTCAATTTTATAGATGAGGAAACACAGAGAGCCAATAATTCCACGCCTGCCTCATAGATATGTAAGCTATTCCCAATCGGGATTCCTACTAATACTAAACACAGATCGCTAAGGCATGCGGACTCTCATATGAGCCTTTTGAAATTAGCAGACATTAAAAGTACATTTTAATGTGATAAACTGGTTACTAAGCCAATTACTCCCTTGTGATCTCTAATGTAAGTAATACAATTTCAAAAGTAGCATAGGAAATTTTCCAATTAACTTGTGTTATTTAAATAATACAAGCATAAGACAATGCACAATTGTCAGTGTGTACACATACCTTACCCATGTAGGTCATGTCCTTTCCAAAAAGACTGATCATTCGGTGTTTTAATGAATCTGCACTTTAAAAAAAATACATAACTTTTTTAAAAGATGAAAAGAAGTGCTATACTTCAGGAAAAAAGAAATCATTTTATAATGGTTGAGTCAGATGAATGAGCTAGTTATAGATCTGAGATGATTATCTACCTCTTAGGATTGTCAGCTTGCACATTTGTCAGCTTCTTGGGGGAGCAGGTATTCTCATGACATGTAATTCAGGATGTACTCAATCACTCAGTAACAAACAGAAGAAATCAAGTTGTAACAGGGACTCAATTAGCAGTGCTCATTTACTAAGATAACACACTAATTCACTGCTTGGTGGAAACTCCATTTTCCGTTTTAATGAAAGCAGAGTTCCTGAAGTTCATGGGGAATATAGTTGATCCATAGATCTGTGTCATTCTTTAAAACAAGTCCTTCCTGCCACCCATTCATGCTGATTGGGGGTTTCAGATGTTAGACAGAGAAGATGGCAAGATTTCTTTTGTGGTCTGTTCCCAAGGCCACCATTTTTTAGGTAAATACTGAAAGGTTCTTCTCAGATCAGAATCTTTACAGTGTTGATCTAATCCCTTATGGTGTCTTTCTAATAAATTCTGTATCCAAAATGACGTAGCCAGTAGCCCAAACAGGATTGAATTATTTCCTTTCTTGCCTGGTCTATCAGAAATAAAGCATAAGTTTCCACTAATCTGATGTTTCCCATTTATTGCTTGTGGCCAATACCTAGACGTAATTATCCCAACCACATAGTAGACACTCAATAAATTATGATGACTAATTAAAATCATGGGTGGTCTGAGGCATGCCAGAAAAGGTAGTTATCATAGATTAAAATCTACTTTATGAGTTACTGTGAACAAGCAGATATGAGATGCAGATCCAGGGAAATAATTTTTTCTGTGACACTGAATAAGACCTGCTTGCCAGCCTTCGAAATTCAACAGCCAGAATTCTTTAGTAATATTGGAGGAAATGCCTCCCTTTAAATGGTAGCAAGACTAAACTTTTGGCAGATACCTGTATAAATGCATAACAGAAAAAAATGACAAAAATCTGGCAAATAAATGTTTGTTATGCATAGACCTGTAAGTGAAAGGAGTTTATAAATGTGTACTCGGACTTTAGTGACCAGTCATGTATCAATAATTTGTTCATCTATTGACTTTCTTAATATTCAAAAATATCTAAGAAATGGAATCATAAGTAGTACACCTACAAGGAATATACTTCACCTTCCATCAGAGACCTAAAAGAAAGCACAAATGGTTGTTTCCCAATTTCTTCTTCTGAATAATGTCTCTTAAAGTGTTACCACACCCAATAGGTGACAATTACTCAATGCATTCAGGGCTTTATCAGGACAGGATGTTTATATAATTTTGAGGGAAAAGATGATGCAACTTGTCTAGGAGATCCTCAACACATCCTGGAGCAAGGCATAGACAATTCTCTCTACATTAGGTGTCCCTACACACTGTAGAAAACAGACCCCACTCAATCATTACAGAGAAAACTCAGGGCTCAATTGAGCAGCAAAATGATCAGTTTCCTGCAACATCACTGTCATTCAAGAAGTATTTCTTGAAATTACGAATCATTCAACATAAATGAACACACTGTGATCACATAGTACAGATCAACCTATGCAGGCTGTGGGGACAATGCCTAAAAAGTCTCTTAAAATATTGTTGAGAAAACAGTACTAATGGACCTCGAAATGTGAGTACACAGTAGTCGTATTTATCAGACACTTAGAACCTGTAGCAAATTCTGGCTGCAGCATGGAGATGTTAATAGCACTTAGGCTTGTCATTCTTACTATCAGTATTTGGGTTTACTGTCTTGTTTAAAATGTCCTGCTCCTCCTCTCCCTTCTGTCTTCCTCCCTAGATGGCACAAATAATCATCAAAATTTTTCTAATATTTAAAATTTAATTTTTCTATGAAGTTTGGTCTTTAGCAAGTCTAGTATTTTTTGTGTTTTTATTTATATATATATATTTTATTGTGTTTTAGGTTTTGGGGTACATGTGAAGAATATGCAAGATTGTTGCATAGGTACACACATTGGCAGTGTGGTTTGCTGCCTTCCTCCCCATCACCTATATCTGGCATTTCTCCCCATCTTATCCCTTCCCAACTCCTCACCCCCCACTGTCCCTCTGCTAGTTCCCCACCCCCACACAGACCCATGTGTGATGCTCCCCTCCCTGTGTCCATGTGTTCTCATTGTTCGACACCTGCCTATGAGTGAGAACATGTGGTGTTTGATTTTCTGTTCTTTTGTCAGTTTGCTGAGAATGATGGTTTCCAGGTTCATCCATGTCCCTACAAAGGACACGAACTCATTGTTTTTTATGGCTGCATAGTATTCCATGGTGTATATGTGCCACATTTTCCCTGTCCAGTCTATCACTGATGGGCATTTGGGTTGGTTCCAAGTCTTTGCTATTGTAAACAGTGCCACAGTGAACATTCGTATGCATGTGTCCTTATAATAGAACAATTTATAATCCTTTGGATATATACCCAGTAATGGGATTGCTGGGTCAAATGGAATTTCTATTTCTAGGTCCTTGAGGAATTGCCACACTATCTTCCACAATGGTTGAACTAATTTGCATACCTACCACAGTGTAAAAGTGGTCCTACTTCTGTCAGTTCATCAGACTCATTCTCCATCCAGCCTTGTTCCCTTGCTGGTGAAGAGTTGTGATCCCTTGGAGGAGGAGAGGCATTCTGGGTTTGGGTGTTTTCATCCTTTTTGTACTGGTTTATTCCCATCTTTGTGGATTTATTTACCTGTGGTCTTTGTAGTTGGTGACTTTCAGATGGGGTCTCTGAGTGGATGTCCTGTTTGTTGATGATGAAGTTATTTCTTTCTGTTTCTTAGTTTTCCTTCTAACAGTCAGGCCCCTCTGCTATAGGACTGCTGAGGTCCACTCTAGGCCCTGCTTGCCTGGGGGCTCACCTGCAGCAGCTGCAGAACAGTAAGGGTTACTGCCGGTTTCTTCTTCTGCTATCTTTGTCCCAGAAGGATACCTGCCAGATGTCAGTCTGAGCTCTCCTTTATGAGTGACTCTTTGGATATACTGGGGATGGGGAGCTGCTTGAGGAGACAGTCTGTCCTTTGTAAGAGCTAAGCTGCTGAGCTGTGAGCTCTGTTATTCCATTCAGAGCTGCTGGGCAGGTACGTTTAAGCCTGCTGCAGCAGAACTCATAACTGCCTTTTTTTTTCCCCAGGTGCTCTGACCCAGGAAGGTAGGGCTTTATTTGTAAGTTTCTGTGTGTTGCTGCCTTTTTTTCAGGGATGCTCTGCCAGTGAGGATGCAGCCTAGTCACTGTCTGCCAGCAGAGGTTTTGCTGAGCTGCCATGGGCTCCGCCCAGCTGCATGTGAACTTCCCTGCAGTCCTGTTTATAGGGGTATAGTTAGAATTGCCTTGGCAATGGCAGCCCAACTCTGTAATGGCGGACTGCCTCAGCAGTGGCGGGCTGCCTTGGTGATGGCAGACGCCCCTCCCCCACAGAGCTGGACCATCCCCGGTTCAGCTGTGCTTGCTGTGAAACTCTCAATCCAGAGCATTTCAGATTGCTGGTCTTTGTGGGGGTGGGACTGGCCAAGCCTGATCACCTGGCTCCCTGCCTCAGACCCCTTTTATTTCAGTTGAACAGG